ACAACCATTTCTAGGGTTTACAAAGAATGGTGTGCAAAGGGAAAAACATCCAGTATGCGGCAGTCCTGTGGGCGAAAATGCCTTGTTCATGCTAGAGGTCAGAGGAGAATGGGCCGACTGATTCAAGCTTTAGGCTCCTCCCATTGTACCAACTAATCTTTTTTCACCAACCCATCACAGGGCACACTCACACACCAGTCACTCACAAGCACACCTGTGGACAATTTGATAACTCCAATCAGCCTCACCATGTTTTTAGATTTGGGGGAGGGGGGGGTTAACTGGAGTACCCAGAGGAAACCCCACGATGAGATGGGAAGAACATGTAAACTCCACACACCCAGGGAGACCTCACCCAGGTCCCCGGTGTGTGAGCAACAGTGCTTACCACTATGCCATCCCACATACAAGCCCATCCATCCATCCATCCATCCATTGTCCAACCCGCTTATCCTACTGGGTCGCGGAGGGTCTGGAGCCTATCCCGGAAGCAAGGGGCACGAGGCAGGGAACAACCCTGGACAGGGGGCCAGCCCATCCATCCATCCATTATCTATATTGCTTAATCCACCTGGGTCACAGGGAAGCTGGAGCCAATCCCAGCATCTTTGGGTGAGAGGCGGGGTACAGCCTGGGCAGGCCGCCAGTCCACCACAGCATATAAACCTTTCAAAAAGTAAATGTATTTTTGCACAGAGTCTGCTTTTTAAAGGCTATGGTCTTAAACGTTTGATCAGCTGTTTGAGTTTAAATGCAGTTTTCAATAAATTGCCTGCTCTCTATTTTTTGTCTCTTGCTCATGTTTCTTCTTTTTGGATTTTGAAGCTCTAATTACAACCTGGTTACGAACCACCAGTGTGAAATGTGAATACTTGTCATTTTCCCCCTGGTCTTTTTTGTACAGGATTGTATATATAGTATATTTTATTACATTCTGTATATTTTTACATTATATATTAGGCAATATATTATATTTGTATATATTAGGGAATATAAAATCTAAGGAAGAATATGTAGCCCAGCCAGAACAAGCATTTCACTGCATGTTGTACAAGTAGAACTGCATGTGACATAAAACTTTAATATTCTACATTTGTACAGTAAATGGATTATCAATTAATTAATAACACAATTTAAGTAACTGTTTTGCTTAGCAAAATTTGGAAGACATGCTCTTTGAGCGTCTATAAAATTCCCCTTTTGTGAAACTGCTTCAAAATGGGAGAAAAAACAAAAGTTCTGCATTTAAATTTTTGTTCGGTGTCATTTAAAATGCTTGTTACGGCAATTTAGTATGTGCAGTGGTTTTACTTTGATGGATATCGCTTTAACGTTTTGCTTTAATCGCAAAATAATATTTATACAACATCGAACGCAGAACTATAACAGATTTTTGTTGTTTTGGCATTCCATTTTTTTTTTTGGTCCTAGGAGACTCCACCGACCTTACGGAAGGATTTGTGCGTCACTTTCCCACAATGCATCACGGGTTGGAAAAGAAGATAAGGAAGTCTGGAAGTTTAGAAAGGGTAGGGAGTAACAAACGGAAAATAGACTTAGGCTGGGGGTTAAAGAGCAGAAAGTTATTTAGTCAGCCCGAATACCAGTAAGCAGCTGGGTATTCATTTATCGAGCTGATTTTGCTCTGATAAAGTGGGCGCAGGCTTGCGTTTAAAACGAGTCGGTAGGAAGACTGGCTAAAATGTGTCCCGTTTTTAAGCTGCAGTCAAATGCTCAAACACTTTTCGATCATTTCTGTTTACCTTGTTGCATTGAGATCTTCGGTCGTTGAGTTATGCTTTCAAGAAAGAAAAGTAAAAGTGAGGTGTCGAAACCAGCTGAGATACATGGAAAATATGTTAAAAAGGAGACATCTCCGCTCTTGAGAAGTAAGTTAGATTACTGGGCTGTTTCTTCATTTTGCTTAATTTCGACTTGCAGTTTTCATCTGCAGTTGTTATACGTATAAGTAGCAAACAAGCCACATCTTCAACATGTACAGAAATCCCGTTCGTTTAGTCGTTCGCCAGTGTCTTTTTGTTCTTTTACGAAGGCGACCCAGCCTCCTCGAACTTGGGAGAAATTTAGTTTCGTCATCGAGTCGTATAGTTTTGACAAAATGGGCTATAGGATTAAAAACACACTTATTTCGGACATTGATGCCTGGGGATCTGGAGTAATTCAGCAACATTGTAAAAGTCTAAAGAAACTAGTAGGCTACTTCCGTTACATTCATTTAAAATTGAACTGCAACGTAATGGTTTTGTGTTCTGATTTGATTTGACAAATTTTAAATACAGCTTAGATTCAAGTACGAAAGCATTACTAGCCGTTACAATAGATCTACAAATCGTATATAGAGTGTATAATACAATTTTAAGATAGAAATGTGTGTATGTGGGTTACAAGAATTCGGTTTCTCAAAGTCCAAATTACTATGTAGAAATCTAATCAGTGAAGAAGTGGTTTCTTGCAAAGTGTTGTAAATTGAGTTGGCCACCTTGAAAATTTCACGCGATGTCTTAAAAGCTTGTGTACAAGTCTCTTTCATCATGGACGACCTAAAAGGGATTTTGTTGTGTGTGTGGTGCTGGCTGACTGGCGTTAAATGTTAGTTTTTTCTCTTCTAATCTTATAAACAATTTTGGGCAATGGCATGCCTCCTCGATCATTTGCTTTAGGTTTTGACGCATTAGACCTACGCCTTCTTATTATCCTTAGTAATTTAAAGTCAGCCGCTTGTCCACAAGTTAATTTACAAAAAAAATATATGAACTATATTCAGTCTCTAAGTCTCATCTGAGAAATATATCTGTATGATATTCCAGTTTATGCACTGAACTAATTATATGTTTTAAATGTTTTCTCAAATTACTGGAAGTTGTATGGTAATTTGATTTGTTAATGGATACCGTTCAAGACTAGTATGTTGATGTGCCGATACGTTATCTGTGTTCTTAGCAGTAGTATTAACAAGTTATGGATATTGTTTTCTGATTTTACATTTTAACTTGGTTGTAGGATCTTTATAAACTTTGAATATTCAAAAAGAGTGTAGAAACCAGTGATATCCCCCTTACCCCATTGCACTAATTAGTAAGCAAATGTCATATTTTTCTCCTGTGCTTATTATAACGGGTGTATTGGGTAGTCAATGCTAACTAGAACATGGAGGACTAAACTGTCAACCCAGCAAATTCAAACCTTTTGCAAGACTTTAAGGATTTTATTAAGTGGTTAAGGCAGCTAGTGTAAGAAGTTAACTTCCAAATTAAAGTAAAACATTGAGGCTGTGTTGCAATTTTAATTTAAGTATAACACAGTGATATATTAGCAAAATGGTGATTCCTTGGCTAGTTTCAGAAGACCTTTTAATGTATATTTACTAGGGCTGCACAATATCACATATCTACAAATTTGGCAAATTCTTTTATCTCTTTAGGAAAGGGTTACAGTTTGTGTGCTCCCTTGGATTTGAATCTGCAAGCTCTGTGTTCTTAGCTCAATACTGTATCTGTAGAGGTACAGGAGCACTGTTGATGCTATACTAAATTGAGCTTTAGTTTAATATTCTCATGAAATTCTCAGCAGCCATACCATCTTCAGTTCAGACTATCTAATTAATCTGTAGCTAAACAGGCCTGGGCCTGGCCAGTGCTTGGATAGGAGACCAACTTGGTAAGCTGGGTTGCTGCTGGAAGAGGTGTTGGTAAGGCCATGGGCTCTGTAGATCCTATTGCCCCAGGGCCATAACTTGGACGCTGTGCTGTAAAAATAGGATGAGACAGAAAACAAAGTTCCTGACTCAGGTCAAAAGATTCCTGGGCATCTTTGTTTTAGCCTGATGTACTGGGTAAAATTGCCTACTGTGGCCCTTTCAAATCTAGTCTCCAAATCAATCCCTATATCTAACTGGTGAAAAAAGTAGGCCGATGATGGGAAAAAAAAAAACAATTAATTATAGAATATTCAGGAAATCATCTCGCCCCACTTTGAAAATCACTGACGACTTAAAATTTAATCATTTCCAGTTCAGCACTCATACAATACCTCTGCAAAGCTTTCAGAAGATCTGTCAAATGGTTTTTGAATTATCCTCTTAACAAGCAAAGCGTCTGTGGCACGAGTGGTGGCGGCAGCAGTGGACTGGTCACGGTACCATATGTATTCCCTGCAGTCATGGCATACGATGTAATCCTAAACCTTATCAGGAAGGTTGAATTTGAAGTAAGATACGGTGCTCCACAATTTTATTAGGCCAACTAAGCCAAGACTTGTTTTGATTTTATTCCCAAGACATGTTTTAGAAGAATCTCTAATTTTATTTAACCTTGTGGGTGAAAATTAAAATGTTGTTTAATACCAATTTCCATTTCTGCAGACGAGGACACACCTCATAGCTACAGAAAAACCTATGTAGTTTTATTTATGTGCTACCATTACAGGCAACTTTGCTGGCGAGTTGGTACCTATTGGAAGAACGGCACATCTCTCACTTCTGGAAAATGTAGACTTAAGTAGAGACTGAGTTTCCTCTTGCTTGTTTTATTTATATTTTGTTTTGGTTGTTGGTGTAGATTTGATGCCCTCATTTATTCGCCATGGCCCCACAATTCCCAGACGTACGGAAGTTCCTTTAACAGAGCCTACGCCTCCGGCATACCCAGTTGGTCCAGCTGAAACTGTGATCACTCAGAATGAGAGTTTTTTGCGCAGCCCTGTACAGCGACCAACTCATGTTGCACATCGTGAGAGCAATCGAATATCTGCGCCACCATATATCCCTCACAGTGTTGGGGATGTGCCATGTGAGTTTGGGGGCTCATCCCAGTCTTTCCTCAGTGAGATGAATGCTTTGGCGGAAAATGGAGATGTTTGCTCTGCTGGTCATTATTGCTACCGCCAGGACCCTTTCTTTAATGAGCAGCAGCAACGACGCAGGAGGCAGATGCCAGATCGCTTTCATGAGGATTATAGATGCCATGAACATGGTGAGCAGACATTCCAAAGAGTGGCGACGACTTCTCATGCCCAGAACAGACATCCTGTGGGTAAGTTTGTCTACTTCCATTTCTGGTAAATAGCTATATATATATATTTTATATATATTTTATATATATATATATATAAACCTAAAGATTGACATGTAGCAGCTGGCTGTGTGGTTGCTGGTTTCTACTGTTAATGTCTAATGTCCCTCACTTGTATGTCACTTTGGATAAAAGCATTGGCAAAATAAAGTTAAGTCTGGGTGATGAGTTGGTACAAAGACAGAACATGCTTACTTGCAGATAAGGCATGGTGGTGGTGCCACCCCCCATCGCATCCATTTATTAAATCTTATCCATGACTAATTCAATGCAAGTCAATGAAAGTTAATATTAAGGTCCCCATTCCACTGCCGTTAACTTGTTCAGGGAGATGCAAAGGTTCAAAAATCTTAGGTTTGCTTCACAGTTTGAGGGTTTTTTATTTTGGTTTACTGAGTGTATTTCTCAAACAGATATTCTAAATTTATCTTCTTTAACATGAACAAGTTTAAAAAAAATTAATAAAATGTAACCCTCTGCAGTCTGAGGCATCTTAGCCCGTTTTGAGGTAATCTGACAAGCCTTGACATTTTTAAATATTTCACCTATCTAAAAACATTTGCTACAAGTGCTACAAATGCTTTTATTCAGCACAAACTCAGCACCAGTAATCTGAGGCCGTTTTGAATGTCATTGTTCTGTTTTTTCTTTCTTAAAATCAACTTTAAACGTGCACTTTTCAAAAACTTATTTTCAGTGGTGCAGAGAAATTATAAAAAAAAAATCACGAATATTTCTAGCCATGACTTTGAGCGCCACAGCTTATAGACATGGAGGCTGGCTACATGTAGGTGAATGAGACATTCATAAACTTTGGAGTGACACTATTTCTTTCAAAGCTGTTGGCCGACACAATGAGTATTACTGACAGGTGTGACCACACCTTTAATAGTCTGCATTAGGGGTGGCACGGTTCACAAAACCCACGGTT